GCGGCGGGCAGTCCCGGCGCCGCAGAGCTTTGGGTCCCGTGTTGGGTGTTAGAAAGTAGCGTCCTAAGGGTTCGTCTGTTCATGTACAGAGTGCGCTTTGTTCACGTTTCCTTCTCCAACTCTAGCACTTCAGGGTCAGTATCTGTAGGTCAGACGGTAAGTACGGCCCCGGTTGCGAGGGACGGTGCATTCCATTCATTGATCTGGAAGCTGATGTTTAGTTTGTCGAAGAACAAAGAAAGGGTCAAGCTTCTTTCTATGTGTCTGAGCAACGCGATTTTGTAGGATTAGGCGTGGGGTCGGAGCTTGATCTAAGCTGAGAAAACTTTCCCATGTGGGTGCCTTCGCTTTCTTTTCGGGGAAGTGGAGGAAGGTGATCCAGGAGCTTATTCGTTGCTTGCTCCTGTCTGAATTGAGCAGTTTTCAAAGGATTTCCATTTTAGGCTTTCTAGGTCCCCCTCCTCAACTGGAGTCCCCTGTTCCAAGTTGAGTCCTGTTAAAGTGGCTTGTTCTCCTTTCTTATGTTCCTAACCCTCTCTCCTTTATGTGATTTCAGGTCTCAGAAAGATGCATCTACTGTGGTTTATGGGCGCTGCCCTTTTAGGGTTGGCTACCTGTGTGCCCATTGAACGGCCCAAGGAGAAACAAGAGGCTGCCCCAGAACCGCCAGTAAGTGCTCTGGTGATTGTCCTTTATCCTCTGCTTGGCGGAGGCCTTTATATATCTATATATGTAATTTTTATTATACGAGGATTTTACATAGATTTTAAAAACTTCAGAAACAAAAGAAAAAGTAGAAAAAGAAAGAAAATATAAAAGAGTAAACCCTCCCACCCTGTATATCATGGTTCCCTTCTTCTTGTAAACATACCTTTTTAATCAATAAATCTCAAAATCACCAGTTCATTTGTATCCGTTTTCAGCAAAAAGTCCATAAAGGGTTTCCAGTCTTTTTAAAAAGTAATGGCAGTTCCCTCAATCCAAGTCAATTTAGCCATTTCTGCAAACTGCAGAGGCCTTTATAGAAGCTTGTCCTGGAACCTGGGGTTGTGGGATTCTGACACAAAAATGGAATCTGTTCCTTTATGCCCAGCCTGAATGGCTTCCCTGTTACTACATTCTAGCAATGCTAATTGTGGTCAAAGATTTAATGTGGGATGGGAGGATAAAGAGAACAGAAGGAAGTGAGGCAACATTTGGAACTTGGCGTCATGGTGAGTGTCTACAGAAGAAATATGTGGCTAAAATGGTATGACTGAATTGGGTTGTTTTGTTCAGTTCATGAGCTGTATTGCATTAGCTAGCATTTGGAAGGAGAGTTCCCAAGGTTTTCTCAGTTCCTTAGTGACAAACTGGCCTGAGATCATCTTGTTCTGGTTGCCTGAACTAGCCACAGATACAGACTGTATAGATACATTGACAAAGTTGCTAACAGACAACATAAGATGGAAAACTCTGTTGGACCAAATTGCAGAGTAACCTGGTGCCCCACAATTTCCAAAAGAAGTCAAAGTGAAGCCCTACATAACATACAAGGACAATAATACTCTCTTCCCAAACTTGTGTTAATGGTAATTATGTGGGTTCATCCACAAGGCATTAGGCCCTAAACACATAATGAATTATCCTTGGACACCAGAAGTTATCCTTTCAAATTGTTTCCTTATCCCCGGATGATACTACATAGTGATTAAGTTTCTTCACCTTTTTTTTTTCAGTGCACATTTTGGCAAAAAGCACTTGGCTCTTACCTTCTACTTTATCCTTCCCTAACCTGAGCTCCTCTAGATGTGGACTTCAGTTCCCAAAATTCCCCAGCTAGCATACCTGCTGTTGCGATCAGCTCAAGCTGGGAAAGGCTGCTATTCTCAAACCAAGCTTAAATGCATTCTCTTTACTTTTAGCCACCCTTGTTATTTTCTCCTCCCTCCTCTGTTATTTTCAGTTTTAGATTGTAAGTCCTCCAGGCATAACCTTTGCCTTCTTGTGCTTAATGTATTATGCATTTTATTAGTGTGATATGACTTCCTTATTTCTGAGGTTCAGTTGTGAATGCTGGTGCTAATGTATCCTGGGTAGCACTATCTCTAACCAGAAGAGAAATTTCAGTAAGCATCATTTGCAGAAGTGGAACAACTGGATGATCTGACTTGTTTTTCTGCAGGACACAGGCTTGTATTACCACCGTTACCTCCAAGAAGTCATCAATGTGCTGGAAACTGATGGGCATTTTCGGGAAAAACTGCAAGCGGCCAATGCTGAGGACATCAAGGTGAATTGGGATATACAAAAGGCAGGGTGGCCGAGTCCTCTCTTACCACTATTGTGGGAAGTTCGATTTGGTAAATAGGAGAACATGGTTTTCCTGGATAGAGAACTTGGATTTTGGGGTCAATGATGGCTACACATCATGTTTACTATAGTGCGGTGTTGTCTAAACTTGGCCACTTTAAGATGAGTGGACTTCAACTCCCAGAAT